GGGCTTGTGTTGATGTGTGTGTGAGGAAATGCTCTGTCCCTGCTGGCCTCTGACCGAATCAAACATGCCTGCACAGGCCCACATAATGAGCACAGGTCACATGATCAAGCTCTCTGCGCTCACAGCCAATGACTGCCTGTCCTTCTGTTAGAATCTCCACAGCTCCTGACCCTCTTAAGGGACACTACAGGAGGAACAATCCCATGAAACACTGCACCTCCTCCTCTCTCATTACAGCAGCTCCTGCTCCTGCTAATCTCTTCAGCACTCGCTCCTCTCTAATGTCACCTTCTGTCCAACCTTTCTACCCTCAGTCGACTGTCATTTAGCGTAATGACTCATAAAAACTTAAATGTCCAGCAGATAAATGCTGAAAATATGAAATTGCCAAAAGCTGCTGTGTGAACTACATCATGTTAAGCATCTATCAATTAGAAAGAAAACTGAATTTTTCTTGTTCTTATGAAATAAATATTTGATGTACTATGCAGACATGATCTAACAATCAGAAGTCCCTCTCCAATCCACCCCAACTATTTACGGAAACGACAAAACAAATCAAAAACAAAAATCAAAAACAAAAACAAAACAAAACAAAACAAAACTAAACAAATCAAAAACAAAACAAAACAAAACAAAACAAAAAACAAAACAAATTTAAAACAAATCCAAAACAAAACAAGCACTTGGAAGGCTTTATGACGATGACGACATTACTATAAGCTCATTAACATATGCCCGTTTACATATCAACATTCTGTATTCAGTATAAACTGTGTCAGTGTGTGGAGGCTACTAATCACTGGAGGTCATCTGCATATAAAAATCTTAAAGGTACAGTAGCAATCTGTACCTTTGAGTCAGAAATAAGAAACAGTACCAATACTGCTGCTATTTTATAGTTTGTTGTGTGTAGCCGACCGTTCAAAAGTTTGGGGTCAGTATTTTTTATTTTTTTTTAAAGTTCATAAAAAGTGACACACACACACACACACACACACACACACACATTATTATTTTGACTGTATCAAACAAATGCAACATTGGTGAGCAGAAGAGACTTCTTTCAAAAATATGAAAAATTCTTATCGACCCCAGACTTTTGAACATCAGAACAAGCAAATGAGAGAAGTTGAAGCTTTCATTAAATTCTGAACTTCCATATTGCAGTTCTGAGTTCTATAAAGACGTGAATGTTTTTACTAGTCTGAAAGCTGTAATTAACGTTATAGTGTAAGTAGACTTCAGCGGGAAAAAAGAACATGTAGAATATGGCCCTGTAAATGAATGGTATGTTAAATAACTCTTTACCTTTAGCGTGTATGAACAGGATCCAGCAGAAGTTGAAGACCTCAGTGACGGTGCAGGGATGTCGTCTGAGGACAGAGGAAAGATCTGTCAGCACAAGCTTCTCATGAAAACTCAATATAGGGTAGAGCTGCTTGTTTCCATTATCCAAGATTTTTTATGTAACGTGTCACATTTTAATTCTCGGTCACAGATCTATATGCATAAATAACTGATTGTTTGCACACTACTGTGATTATCTGTGACCTCCAGTGACCTGTCCTGAGATTATTTATCATATGACCATGTGCTTCACAAAACTTGAAGTGGACAGGTCAGGTTGCAGTACCTCTGTTTCCTGCCTCTGTGCGCTCTGGGTAATTCATCTGTGGGCGCCTTGAAGATGTCTTTGAACAAGGGCACGTATTTCTTAAAGATGACGGAGGTGACGGTGAAGTTCCTCTCTAGTTTCTCAGTGCTCTGCTGGAACTCCTTGGGCAGGTTGGCCATGTCCTGCCATTTCTTCATTTTATTGAAGAACTCAATCAGGCTGAAATGTAATATTAGGTTTTTTAAACCTCAGTATAGCAAACGTTTCAATAATGCTCAAGCAATTTTGGAACACTTTATTTTAATGTGTCCTTGTTACACACGAGTCATTCTAAATGGCAGGGCATGTTTCATGTCCATTTATGGTTATTATATATTTTTCTTCACAAAAATCACATTTTATCATATTTATCAGCATATTAATATCACAGAAATAATTCATGAATTTCAGTTTTTGCAGTGTCTATTTTTGTGCGTCTTGAGTCCAAAATAATCAAAAAATGTTAAAGTCCACATTATCTATATTAAATGTATACAGAAAAAAAATCTTTAAATGAAGAAAATATTTTATTTTTCTAATGTCTGAGAAACCTCTGTCAACTGTGTTACTAACCAAACAACCCACTGCAACTAAAACTTATGGTTTATCACAACATAAAAGTCTTGTCACCCCCCCACCCCACAATATTTGATCTATAATAACCTATTGTTAAGGAGTATATAAACTGACTGTTCGCAATATTTGTATGATTTCAGTTCAAATATATATTCAAATTTAAGGTTAACCTAATCAAGAAAATAAATAAAAAAATCCTACAATTTTTTTTTTAATTCACTGTATATATTGCAGATTAACAGATAAATGAACCCTTAAATATGTGTTACTTCAAGTGTACTAGAGAAAACAAAACATATTTGTGTAATTACACTGTACCAAGGACACTTAAAAAATAAAGTGTGACTAAAATTATATTTAGCGCAAACAAGATGAAACATTTTTTAGGAAGATTTCATTGAATTACAACAGTATCACCACGAATTTGGAGGCCAGGGGACGTCATTAATTATCATGAAAATAAAGTCACAGCTTGCTTCATTTCATTGAAGCAAAATATGATTTTTCTTTAAATTCTTCTGATTTGGGGTTGATACAAGGGCTGTGCATGTTTTTTGACATTCCATATACTTTTGGTATTTCAGCATTTACCATATGGTTATTATTATTGAGACTATAATATAAAAATACCCAGTGGTGGACAGTAACGGAGTAGCTTTACTTCGTTACTGTACTTAAGTACATTTTTCAAGTATCTGTACTTTACTTACCTTATTTTGATTATTTAATAGTAACATTACACAACTGTATACACTCCATCTATTCTCTGTGGCTTACAAGCAAGAAGCTACAAGCACATTGCAGGAAGAAATGCAGCTCTGTATAAATCCCCAGCTGATCTTTAAGTTGTCTTGGGAACATCAAAACATGTCTGCGTGTGTTTGTGTGTGTGTGTGTGTGTTTGTTTGTGTGTGTGTGTGTGTGTGTGTGTCTGTGTGTGTGTGTGTGTGTGTGTTTGTGTGTGTGTGTCTGTTTGTGTCTGTGTGTGTGTGTGTGTGTGTGTGTGTGTCTCTGTTTGTGTCTGTCTGTGTGTGTGTTTGTGTGTGTGTGTGTGTGTCTGTGTGTGTTTGTGTGTTTGTGTGTGTGTGTGTGTTTGTTTGTGTGTATGTGTGTGTGTGTGTTTGTGTGTTTGTGTGTGTGTGTGTGTGTGTGTGTTTGTGTGTATGTGTGTGTGTGTGTGTGTTTTTGTGTGTTTGTGTGTGTTTGTGTTTGTGTGCGCGTGCAACAATCACTAACTGAACTGTTCAGCTGTGTCTGTTATATCTCTTTAACTCTATCTATATAAACATCAAAATAAATCATACGTTCACTGACCTCTGTTGTGAAGAGCGCAGTATCCTGGTCAGAGACACATAGTTGCCCTCGGCTGTGCCTTTACCTATAGTGGGCACCGATGAGCGGCATGCCACATACAGAGCACACGCCAACCAGTGCAGCTCACTGCCCTGAGACACACACACAGACAGGATATCAAATGGAGTATTAGTATTACATATGATACTAACAATAGTATTTAGTTCTTATCTGGTTATAAGAAGTTAAAATGACATCTTAAAGATATCTGTCAGATGTCTGTACACAGCAGATGCTTTCCAGATGAAGCGATCTTTAACAGACATCTTGCAGACGTATGTGTGCTATCTGGGTTGGTTGACCATGTTGGATATGTACCATCAAAATAGCATTGTATTCTTATAAGTACCACGGGGCACCACGTAAATACCACGGTGTATGTATAAAATAATAATTCTGTAATATGGTATTTGACAGAAAATCGTGCTTTTACCATTTACTGTAACTGCACCATACTGTACCAATGCTGAAATGTTTGTCTGCACAAGCACAATGAGGTGACATACAGGACATAAGTGGTGCAGATGTATTTTTTCCGTATTAGCCTTAAAACAACCTAAAAGCACAGCTTGTCCTTACTGTACATTATTATGATCGTGTGGCTGTAAAGCTGTTCATTCAGATAAAGCCGCTGATGATGTCACGCGCATTCTGCACTCAGGTCGAATACGTAATGTGCACACACACATATTTAAACATTCTCTGACACGTTAAAGCACACAATTAGTGCGTAAAACATAGAAATGACATGTTAACATGTCAGTTCACATGAACACTATTGAATGCATGCATATTCGCGTTTATAAATGCGTGCACTGGGCCTCCTATATTATGAGCTCACTTTACCTCCAGAGTGTAATTTTTGCTGATATTTTCATAACTCCTCCATGCCCCGTTACTCGCCTCCTCATCCATATTCAGAGCTCGACACAGATCTTCAAATGCATGTCTTGTTTTCACCAACGTATCTTCTTCCTCGCTCATTTTTGGGGCTTTTCGTGCGTAGATGTATAAATATACGAGTGATCTGTATCTTTGTTTGCGATACAAGAAATGCAGAAAAGCAAACCGCTATGAAATGAACGGCGGTGAAATAAGAATGAAGTTATTTCATGACAGCGCGAGCGACTGTACAGTTCTGCACGGTGTAGCCATTTAAATGTCCTTTGACTGACAGCTCGCTCCTGCCGTGTTTGAGTTACGCTGAGCGCGTGCCGACGCGGACGCAATGAGAACGTACGACGCGTTTCTGACGTAAGTATGAAAGCGAATGCCGATCTGTGCGTAGAGCCCGTCACACGGAAGTGGAGGCCCCGCCCACTTTCTGACTTCAATATGCCAGTTCCCCTTGACTTAACTCATAAATGACTGTTTTACGAGTCTAAACCTTCCAGCCTGCATCTCAGCTTTTGAATAACATTTTAATACAGGTCAAAGAGTAAATTAGACTGTTGCTGTGTTAAGTTTTGTTAAATACTCCGTCTTCTCTACTGTATTCTGTCTAAGCACATTACGCTGCTATTATATCCCTGCACGATTTGTTCTGGCATTCAGTCATTCATTTTATTGAATAGGCGACATATTGTCGTGTAGGGAACGAATGGTTACTTTATACTAGCATTTAAAAGGAAACGTTTTTGTTTTTGAGCGCAGCTCATTCTAGGCACTCGAAGACGTCACGCCGTAAAAACTCCATTTCCCATAAGCCAGTTGCCGGAAGTGGAGTCCGTTGGAGCGGAAGTGGAGGAGTTGTTTGTTAGCAACAGTCGCCGTGGTCCGTGTGACGCGTTTGAATCGGTGAGATCGTGTTTGGATTAAAATATTTTTGTCTTGTGAAGGTTTAAAGTACGCCGTGTGCTTATAAGTCCGTCTACTGTAACGTTGTTTTTTTTTGTGTTTAATTATAACTTGAATTTGTATTTCCGAAGTACTGCATTTCCGATACAAATGACATAACATGTTAGAAAACATGTATCAGATCGTAATTCAAGTATCAGTATCAATGCAAGTATTAAGTACACAAGTATCAGATGGCAATGCCATGCTACCTTGATGTATAAGTTATAACGGGGTACTAAATGTTTAACGTTACCATATTAATATGTGGTAATATTTTCTTATGGAATTAAATACCATAATACATGTCCAAAATAAACATGGTGATACCGTTGTATTCTTTTGTGTTTAAACCGAAGTTTTAATAAAATAATTTAATATAATTAATATTTTCAATGTTTTTGACGTGCATATTTGCTGTGGGATTTGTTTGATTTCAGTCTGAATGATGTTTGCTCGTGCTGATGAGACAGCTGGAGATATTCCTGTGAAGGACATCACTGTCAACCCGAGTGGAGCAGCCACATTGCCTGGTCAGTATTACAACAAAAGTATTATTATAATTGACAGTAATTGCTTTAGTTAAGGGCAGGTAAATGAATAATCCTGCCTGTTTGAAACTGTTTTTAGAGGCCCTACTGTCTCATAATATCAGAGAGAGACAGAATGTGTCTAAATTCAGCAAGGAGGAGCTGGAGGACAAATTTCTACGGCTGCAGGATGAAAACCTCACACTTAAACAACATGCATGCAAACAAGAAGACAAGATCCGCAGGTTTGATCAATCATTAGATCTAAACATTACCTATTCTTCTCAAGAATGGATCAATAACAAGAACAAAGTAGTAAGTTTGCAAATGTTTTTGGTGTTTCAGGATGGCCACCAAGTTGATTCGTCTGGTGAAGGACCGCAAGCAGAGCGAGGGCGGTCGAGATGTTGAGATGGAGGAGATGATGGAGGAGCTGCAGGAGAAGGTTCAGGAGCTGGAGAAACAGAACGAAGGGCTCAAGCGGCGGCTGTTAGCAGCCAAACAGCAGCTGCAGGTGCAGAACCGCCGGCACACTCCCTACAGCCACATCCAACCACGCATCAACTCCGGCCTCCGCAGACTCACAGACGACATGCCCATGGCATCGCCATCACGACCACACACTCCCAAAGCAGGTATCCTATTCTATTCTATTCTATTCTGGAATCTACTGTATATTCTATTCTGAATGTGTCGTATTCCACATTCTGTTCTATTACTGTGTGTTGTTATATTCTATTCCATTTAGGCTTGCCGTGATAGACGGTGTTGACGGTGATACCGGTGTTAAGCCGCAACACCGGTTACGTCACTTGCCCACCGAGGTTTTGATTCCCACCGTCGTAATAAAAGTTCTATGTTTTATATATAGGCTAAAGTGAGTTTGACGTTGTATTTTGTTGTTGCATTCAAGCAATTGACACCGACCTGCTGCTAATTCAAAAGTGAAAGTAAAATGCTCAAGGCGCTTTTAAGCTATTTAAAAGAGAAGGAAAGCCAGGAAAATAGGGAAAATTCAAACGAACAATTGCTTTACCCCGAATTGCCGCTATTTGAAAGTGAAAGTAAAATGCTCATGCCTTTGTAAAATGCTTTTACAAACTATTTAAAAGCGAAGGAAAGCGAGGAAAAGAGGGAACGCCCCCGTGGTGATACGGTATTACCGGAGTTGTCACACGTCGATTAACCGGTGGGAAAATTTCCTCACCGTCACAACCCTACTGCACAGTCATGAAGAGGGTCTGCCGAACAATTGCTTTACCCCGAATTGCCGCTATTTGAAAGTGAAAGTAAAATGCTCATGCCTTTGTAAAATGCTTTTACAAACTATTTAAAAGCGAAGGAAAGCGAGGAAAAGAGGGAACGCCCCCGTGGTGATACGGTATTACCGGTGTTGTCACACGTCGATTAACCGGTGGGAAAATTTCCTCACCGTCACAACCCTAATTCCATTCTGTACTATGATTTATAATATATATTTTATTCTATTCTATTCTTCACTATATTCTTATTTATAATCTATAGTATATTCTATTCTGTTGTCTATTTATGCCATATTCTATTATTTCTGTCATCTATTTCTGCCAATATTGTATTGTATTTTATTCTGCTATATATATCTATATTCTGTTCTGTTTTAATTCTACTCTATTCTCATCTGTAATCTACTGGTTATGTTCTGTTTTCTTTTCTATTCTGCAAACTATTGTTTTCTATAGTAATTATACTCTATTATCCTTTGAAATGTATGTTATATTATGTGCTGTCTATTCTATTCTATTCTATTCTATTCTATTCTATTCTATTCTATTCTGTAATCTAATGTATATTCTATTCTGAATGTGTCCTATTCCACATTCTGTTCTATTACTGTATGTTGTTATATTCTATTCCATTTTGTACTATGATTTATAATGTATATTTTATTCTGTTCTGCAATTCTGTTCTATTCTTCACTATATTCTTATTTATAATCTATAGTATATTCTATTCTGTTGTCTATGTAGGCAATATTCTATTCTATTCTATAACATTCTATACTATTCTATTCTATTTATGACAATATTGTATTGCATTTTATTCTGCTATGTATCTATATTCTGTTCTGTTTTGTTTTAATTCTATTCTATTCTATTCTCGTCTGTAATCGATCTGTTATGTTCTGTTTTCTTTTATATTCTGCAAACTATTGTGTTCTATAGTAATTCTATTCTATTATCCTTTGCAATTTATATTATATTATGTGCAGTCTATTCTATTCTATTCTATTCTATTCTATTCTATTCTATTCTATTCTATTCTTTCTTCTGTCATCTATTTCTGCCATGTTCTGTATTGTATTGTTTTGTATTCTGCTATATATCTATATTCTGTTCTATACTCTATTCTTGTCTGTGATTAATCTGTAATGTTCTGTTTTCTTTTCTATTCTGCAAACTATTGTGTTCTATTGTAATTCTTCTCTATTATCTTTTGCAATTTATATTATATTATATTATATTCTGGTCTGTTCTATTCTGTAAGCTAAATTATATTATGTTCTGTGTTATCAATTAATTCTAGTCTAATTTAGTAATCGCTTCAACTTTGTTGGGGGTAAGAATGTTTTAATAAATTCTAGATATATGCTCAATGTGTCCATTTAGTACTAGAATGTGTAAAAACACAGGTACTGGAGAAAATGATGAAGACTTATATTTAAAATATGGTACAAATTATGTGTTTTTTTTTTTCAAAGGTATCAGGCATGTTGAAGGGGACATGAGTGCAAAACCACCCCAGGGTTTGTTGCCCCGCTATGGACACAGTCATTCTATTCTTTCTTCTGTCATCTATTTCTGCCATGTTCTGTATTGTATTGTTTTGTATTCTGCTATATATCTATATTCTGTTCTATACTCTATTCTTGTCTGTGATTAATCTGTAATGTTCTGTTTTCTTTTCTATTCTGCAAACTATTGTGTTCTATTGTAATTCTTCTCTATTATCTTTTGCAATTTATATTATATTATATTATATTCTGGTCTGTTCTATTCTGTAAGCTAAATTATATTATGTTCTGTGTTATCAATTAATTCTAGTCTAATTTAGTAATCGCTTCAACTTTGTTGGGGGTAAGAATGTTTTAATAAATTCTAGATATATGCTCAATGTGTCCATTTAGTACTAGAATGTGTAAAAACACAGGTACTGGAGAAAATGATGAAGACTTATATTTAAAATATGGTACAAATTATGTGTTTTTTTTTTTCAAAGGTATCAGGCATGTTGAAGGGGACATGAGTGCAAAACCACCCCAGGGTTTGTTGCCCCGCTATGGACACAGTCTGCTGGATGAGGCCCGTGCTGAAATCCGCAACCTGTGAGTGCTGCACCGTATAGATGTTGCACAATCTGTATTGACAGACCCGCTAACAGCAACACAACACTCATCGCCTGGAAAACATCACATGCACATTTTTTTGCTTGTTTTATCTGATAACAGAGAGAATGTGATTGAGAGCCAGCTAGCTCAGATGGAGGAGATGGAGAGATCAGCGGAGATGCTGAGAGATCAACTGAAGAGGAAAGAGAGAGAGTTTGAAGAATCACTCCTCCAGATGAGAGAGCATCAGGCCAGCGGACAGAGGTGCTGCTCGCTCTTTTTAAACACTGTACTTTATTATTATTATTCATATTCAGCGCAGGAATTGCTGTAATAGAATATAGATATGACTACAGCAGAGTTTGAACTGTAAACCCTCTTGTTCTGATGAGATATGTGTGTTTTGCAGGTTAACTATAAAGGATAATGTGGAGATGATCAAACTACAGAAGCTGTTGTCTGAGAGAGCAAACACACTCACAGTGCTGGAGGGCAGATTTCTACAGCAACAGGAGGTACGACTGACCGTCAGTGACCCCAGCGACAAAAAGATTGATTTTCTGCCAATTATAGTTTATCTGCTATTAGAATTGTAGGTGTGTTCTTTGATATTTCCTGGATTCTTTGCACCTCTATATCGTCTGACGCACATTGCATGTGTAAGTATGTGTATGCATACTACTGTTCAGAAGTTTGTGATCAGTAAGATTTTATTTAATTTTGACACTAAAGACCTTTATATTGTTAAAAAAATATATATATTTGAAATAAATGTTTTTAACGTCATCATGGTTATCACAAAAATCATTAAATCAGTATCATGGTTCCCACAAAAATATTTGGCAGCACAACTGTTTTCAACATTGATAATAATCAGAAATGTTTGTTGAGCAGCAAATTAGCATATTAGAATGATTTCTGAAGGATCATGTGACACTGAAGACTGGATGCTGACAATTCAGATTTGATCACAGGAATAAATTATATTTTCAATATATTCACACAGAAAACAGCTATTTAAAATTGTAATAATATTTCACAATACTACTGTTTTTACTGTAATTTTGATCAAATAAATGCAACCTCTACATTTAAAAAAAATCCCTACATTTAAATATATATTGGACATTTTTTACATGTTTTTTAAAATATGATATTTATAATTCAACAATTAAAGTTAATATTTCACATTTTAACATATATTGTTCATCTGTCTCAGGACAGCGGTACTTTGTAATTTTTACATCTCTACCTTTAAATGCACTTCATTGGCATCAATGTCAGTGTCTCATTTATTGTGCCCTCTGCTGGTGATCATGTCAATAGCAATTGCAGTTTTTGTAGAGTGTGTGTGTGTGTTTTTGTAGAGTATGAAGACTCTGAAGGCCAGTCATGATGCAGCGCTGGTGAAGGTGGATGAAGTGAGCCGACAGCTGAAGGAGGAGAGACTGAAGAGTTTGCAGCTGGAGACACAGATTCAGACCAGAGCTCTGGACCAGAGACACACACAAGAGGTACAGCTGCCGTCATACACACATACTTATGTATAAGTATGTATAGAAATACCTAAAAAAACTAAAACTAATAAAAATGACAAAAGCACATGAGAATACTAAACCTTAAATTAAAATTAAAATGATCTGAAAATATAAAAATAAAATCTAATTCAATATATTAAGTAGAATATGTAACAAGTACAAGTAGAATATGTAGCCTATGTAATTATGTAAATATAATACATTTGTAATTGCCGTGATTTGGTGTTGTTTAGTGTGTTTTTACCCCATCCATCCATCCAGTTGATTTTCTGTCTGTTTTCAGTTACAAGAGAGAATCCAAGATTTGGAGAAGGAGAGAGACTTGCTCAAGGAAAACTGTGATAAATTAGTGAAAAGGTGAGAAGATAAAAGCTTGAATGACCGACATTCAGCAAAAATAAAAATAGAAATTACTGTTCAGAAAATTAAACAAGTCTAGTAGACTACTTACTAGTGGTGTTTGCTAACTAAAGTACTATTGTTATTGCTCATGCTTAGTATTAAGGATTTCAACAAATCAAAGCGTTGTGGGGGAGCACATCACCGAATTTCTTTTTGTCTGTTGTAATAGTGTGTTTGATGTGAGTCAGGAGCAGAAATGGAAGACGAGAGAACAGCAGCTCAAACTACAGGTGGCCCAGCTGGAGATGGCATTAAAGTCCGACCTCGCTGATAAAAACCAGATCCTGGATAAGATCAAGGCAGAGAGAGGTAACCACACACATGAACGTAGGTGCTTTAAAACTGCTGGTGTGTTAGACTCACTTTTATTTCATTTTCACGGAAGATTTAAATGAAAAACTGATGCAAGAAAACAGGGAACTTCAGCTGCGTTATCTCGAGCAGAAACAACAACTGGATGAAATTAAAGAGCGCATGAAGTTCTTTACCAAGGTAAAGTGCAATATTTGTAGCAGCAGAGAAGAAACATAGCACTTTGAAGCAATAGCTCACCCAAAAAGAAAATGACCATGAAACAACTTAAAAAAGCTTAACATTTACAATGCAGATGATTTTATTAGTTTCCCATTGTTGCCTAAATCTTATACTGTGTTTTAAAGGAAAGTGAAATAGATGCAGCTGAACTCAGTGAAGCCCTCATGCTTATAAAGGTAAATTCTGAACATCTGTTAATTAATTCGAACTAATTACAAATTACTAGATTACTACGTACACAACTGGTCAAATGTTTTGGGTCAGTACGTTTTTTTATTTTTTTATATAAATGACCGTTTAGGTTCGTAGGATTCAGAAGAGTGGAGAGCTTGGATTTCTGGAGAAGGTGGAGGAAGATGTGAAAGTGGATGTGGAGCGATCTTTGAGGGAACTGCAGGCCACTCATGCTGAGACCGTCCAAGAGCTGGAGAAGACCAGGAACATGCTCATCATCCAACACAAGATCAATAAAGACTATCAGGTTTGCTCAGTCCTCGCACTGATAGACTAAGGGTGCTTTCACACTTGGTTCGCTTGCCTGGTCCGAACCCGAGTTCGATTGCCCCCCCCCCCCCCCCCCCCCC